ATCTCTCTCGCACATTAAATATTTGCATCTGTGTTTCTTTGTACAGTAAGAAAAAATGCTTTAAGGACTAAATCGGTTCGAACGATTGAAACTTGAATTCGCAAATGCAATTTTACAATTTGTTATTTCTTCTTTGATTTGATGTTCTTTATTTTTGTTGATGATTGAAGTTAACGTAGGAATTATTGTTTCAAGTGACTTCCGTAAGAAGAGTATTTGTATTTATTTTAAAAACCCAATTTTAAAAAAAATCATTACATAAGTAATAAAATGCAATGTATTTGTTTAAAAATAATTTTATAATAATTATGATCGAAAACAATATTATTTTTTGATACCCCATACTTAAGTGTACTTTCTGACTGAATAGAATTTTAATGGAACGTTTTATATCACAGAATAAATATTAGTTCAAGAACAGAAGGATCACTCTCTGATAGCAAACCTGCGAGGTTAAACCTAGTTATAACGTCACAAATGTTCATAATATTTTGCACGCCTCGGAAGCGACCTTCGTGAAATTAGCATACCGATTAATTCGTCGAAAAAAATATCAATGCGGCGCGCGTATTAAATCAAAATGCAGCTTATGCCTGCGTGCGATTGTCTATATCACTTCTCCTACTGTAGGGTAAGGAAAGGAGGGTCGCGTTCGTATACGGCTTAGAGATCTCTAGTCAGATCGTTAAGCCACTTCCCAAAAGGTTGAGTTTAGTGGGTAAAAGTCATCACATAACCACGCAGCCGGCTGCGTGGTATGCTATGAGCATTCTCAACCTCCCTCCCCCGCTTTCCGGAGGGTTGCTCATATTTGCTTCGGGCGCAAAAAAAAAAGGGTAAGGTGTGAGAAAACAAATTGAACCTTTTCATATAAGTTTTTTTTTTTTTTTTTTTTTTATAGAAGAGGGGGCAAACGAGCATGTGGCTCACCTGATGTTAAGTGACTACCGCCGCCCATGATCAACTGCAACACCAGGGGAATTGCAGACGCGTTGCCGGCCCTTTAGAAAGGAGTAAGCTCTTTTCTTGAAGGTCCCCAGGTCGTATCGGTCCGGAAAAATCGCTGGTGGTAAATTATTCCACAGAGAGGTTGTACGCGGAAAAAAACTCCTTTTGAAACGTACAGTGGTGGACCGCCAAGCATCCAGATGGTGTGGATGGTATCGGGACGTTTGCCGCGTAGTGCGTTCACGAAATTTGGCGGCTGGGATTAATCCGAACAATTCCTCAGAGCACTCTCCATGGTATATGCGAAAGAAAATGCAAAGGGATGCAACATCTCTTCGCAGTGCCAGAGAATCGAGCCGATCGGAAAGCACTCGGTCGTCGACGATTCGGGCCGCTCTGCGCTGGATGTGGTCAAGTGGAAGGAGCTGGTACTGGGGGAGCCCCAGCCCAGAGATGGGAACAGTATTCCATGTGCGGCCGAACCTGCGCCTTGTAAAGTTGCAGGCGGTGTGCCGGCATGAAATACTGTCCCGCTCTGCTGAGCACGCCAAGCTTTTTAGAGGCCAATTTGGCCTTCCCTTCCAAGTGACCACGAAACTGCACGTCACTCGATATGTCGACGCCGAGGATTCCGATACTGGCTGAGGCAACAAGGGGGAGTGCCTTGAAACTGAGGGGATACGACAAAGGGGTTCTTTTTAGCGGTTAACGCGCAAACTTGTGTCTTCTGGGGGTTAAACTGGACTAGATTTAGTCGCCCCCCAATCCGAGACTCTGTCCAGCAGAGACTCGACTTCAGACACAAGTTTGTCCCGGCACTCGGAGACGTTTTCCCGAGAAATATTGGCTCGGCCGGTGTAAAGAGCATCACCAGTGCTGTCATCTGCATAGCAATGAATGTTACGGGTCTGCAACATATCATTGATATGCAGAAGAAACAGCGTTGGCGATAGCACGCAGCCCTGTGGAACACCAGCATTAATAGGCTTGCAATCGGAGCTTGCACCGTCTACAACGACCTTGATGCTCCGATCTGCAAGAAAACTGGTGATCCAATCGCACAATTTCTCGGGAAGCCCATAGGAAGGGAGCTTCGAAAGAAGCGCTTTGTGCCAAACCCGATCGAAGGCCTTCGCAATATCCAAACTAACGGCCAATGCCTCCCCCTTGGACTCAACTGCCTCCGCCCATCTGTGAGTTAGGTAGACCAGAAGATCACCAGCTGACCTACCACGGCGAAAACCGTATTGGCGGTCACTAATCAGCTGGTGATCCTCAAGGTACCTCATGAGCTGGCAGTTTACAATGGACTCCATTGTTTTGGAGAACAAGGAGGTGATGGCGATAGGCCGGTAGTTGGACGGGTCTGAGCGGTCGCCTTTTTTAGGGATCGGGTGGACGAAAGCCGTCTTCCATGATTTTGGGACTACGCCTAGGGAGTAGGAGTACCGGAAAAAACGCGTTAAAACCGGTGCCAACTCTGGAGCACACGTCCTCAGCACAATTGGGGGGATTCCGTCAGGCCCACTCGACTTGTGGATGTCCAGGGAGAGGAGTGCTTTGCGAACCGAGCGCTGAGTGAACTGCACTTCCGGCATGGAGCACTCACACCGCGGGATGGTCGGCGGCGTACTCCCCCCGTCATCGAGAGTCGAGTTAGACGCAAAGAAAGAGCCTAGAAGATCGGCTTTCTCCTTTGCGGTGTGGGCCAGTGAGTCGTCCTCCCTGTGCAGAGATGGAAGAGATGGCTGACAGAAATTCCCCCTGGACAGCCTTGGCGAGAGACCAGAATGTACGGGTTCCAGAAGGAAGACGAACTAGTTTCTCGCCAATTCTGCCTATGTGCTCTGACTTTGCCTTGGCAATGACTCTTTTGAAGGACCTGGAGGCGGAATTATACTTCTTTTTTAGAGCGCTGGTGTTTACATCCCTGGACGCTGATGCGTCAGCCCAGGCCTGGTAGCACTCCTGCTTATAGCATGATGCTATTTTACAGGAGCGACCAAACCATGGCTGAGATTTGCCTCCAATGGGTACCACAGAGGAAGGAATAAAAAGTTCCATACCCTGAAGTACCACATCAGCGACAGAATCCGCAACAACGTTGGGATCGTCCGGCGAGAAGCAAACCCGCCCCCAAGGGTAGGATGCAAAGATAGTAAAATACACCGAGGTGTTACGCAATGTGTGCAATTTACTAGTAATTTGCGGATAATACGAACATTAGTGTTTAATGTGATGAAGGTTAATATGCAACAGCTATAAAAAATAAGATTATAACAACGTGAACGTCTTTGAAAACCAGATAACATGCCTATTTACCATTTTCTGTTCCAATTTTTTCTTGCTAGTTACAAACATGCGACACGCGACGGAATTATTAATGAAAGAGTGTCTATGGGAAGTGCTACTATGTTCAATCTCTTTCTTTTATCGACCAAGTGTTTAACTAATAACCAGTATAATATGCTGATCTTGCATTAGTATGCAGTAACTAGTACTGTGAGGTCTACTTACGCTGAACATATTTAGGGTAATTGAAGTTATACGCAAAAAAATCGAAAACTACGAAGCTGTGGTCGGGTCGCTAATCAAATAATAAATCTGAACTATGGAGCCAGTAACTACAGTACGGCCAACGAGAAGCGTAAATAAAACCCAAATGTAAATAAAACCAATGCAAGGTTAATAGGAATAGCAGGGGTGCGTAAATTTAAGTAGACACAATATAGTTTTAAAAAATGTCAAGCAAACGAAAAAAATATACTTTTTATAAAATTTGCTATAATTTGAATTATTGTATAATGTAGATTTACATTAAATAACGGGAATAATAATAATCTTTCTGAATATCGCTTGCCTAACATCTGTGTGCCCGGTGTATGGTAACAGGCTTGCCCCCTGTTACATAGGGACTTAAATATATCAGACAAAATGTGGGTGTAATAAATAATATCTCTGCTTATTAATGTAATAATATCTCTACTTACCCCTTAGGGTATACAGAATTGATGATATATTATGTTATTTTTATGGAAAAAACGTTTCTTTTTCAGAAAAGTAAAATCTGATAATTTATCTCTTAACGTACTTGGTTGTGGCTCCATCATTAACCTTATTAAAAAACAATTATCAACAAAACAAAATAACAATAATTAAATAAATAACAAAAATAACAAAAATTTTAACAAAAAACTTGTATCACCACCAACGCGTTCCGAAACGGAATGAATCACTATTATTACTAAAATGGCCTCCCGAATGTTGGCGAACCCGTCTTGACCCTAACATGTTTTTGCCGGGAAAACGAGTCATTACGACAAATACACAAGGTGGAAAGAGATAGATAATAGATTGTCAACTCCACAGTCGTTTTTAAGGTAAATGACCTTTCGTATCGCTGCTAGTTGGCCGTACTATAGGTACTTTATTATCTGGATATATTCCAGTAAAAAATAATATCTGAACTTTCGATATCCTTAGGAATAGTAAAAAATGAAATGTCGACATTAGTATTGTTATTTAAGCACCCCTATGAAATGCAGTATCTTTTGGCTTTTTGAGTAGCCATACTTGAATAAAAACTCAAAAATAAATATCAAAAGTGCCTAAATACTTATAAGAGAAAAATACTTTTTTGGCAACGATAGGCGCGCATTAGCTTACCACGCGAGCGACAACCTCACTGAATTAGTACATTGTAGTGGACCGCGCAGCGTAGGTTTATTTTCATGCCTAAAGCGCGGTGTGAGACAGGCCTCGTTATATTAAGAAGCCATAATTAGTTAATGTTGACCAATAATTACAACTTCACAATATTATTTAAGTCGGTGGGAATATATTCTAATATTTTAACATCTGCGACGCATTTAGAATTTGCAAAGGCTGTCATTTCCTGCAACAATTTCATAGCGTAGCATGTCTTGAGTTCTCTCAATCTATGTACGTCCCTTTCCTTCCAATAACGCCACCTTAAAACTCCATCGCAGAACATTCAAGGCAACTTGAATTTTTACATGAAGGCATAAGGTCGCATTTCGCTTACGGTCGCCTCACGTGTCGGCCACGGACTGATTTGCGAGCGAGCCATCCCACGCCGCCTCCTTTTGCAAAGCGGCTTGACGTTTCTTCTCTGTAATATCAAAAAATTAACATTGCTAGTACAGCAATATAAACATTGTAAAGCAAAATAAACATTGTGTAGTTGCCGACACGAAACGTGAGCACAGATGAACTATGGTGGGGGTTGAGCCAGCGTAGGTACACTGTTGGCCAAAATTATTAGGTAATGTTATTTCTATTCATAATTGAATATTTTCGCTGACTTTTTTCGAAATTCTGAATCGTTAACTCCTTTAACTATACGACGTACAGTAGCTACGTACACATTAGTCGCCTTAGCAGTCTGTTTATAAACGTCTATCATGTTTTTCACTGACAAACAAAAACTGAAAACACTGAATAGAACATTTGTCGGGATTGTCTATTTAACACCGAATTCCTTCTTCTCTGCATATTTAGCCCAAAATCCGAATGCTCAAATTATAACAAAAAAAAATTAACAACAAATATCAAAAACAGTTAAAAACAAGAAATACACAAACAACAATTAACAACAATTAACACTACAATTACCAAAAATAAACTAATTAAAAAGTTGTCACTAAAATTGCTCTCAAGTGTACGGTAGTCGAATGATACGTGCGACCCCAATAGACGACGAGAATCGGCTGACGAACCAATCACGTTAGACTTCAGCGTGGTCAACGTCATATCGACCAATAAAAAGTGTGCTCACGACTCGTGGCGGCAATCATACAACATAAACAATAGTAAAAATAAACAATAGTGATACTGGTCACTCTGTATAATTCCAATAATTAAGTGTCGTTTTGACAATAGCTTATAAAAATTATTTCTCTCAGAGTATGGAAACATTTGGTTAACAACAGGTGGTATTTGTTAACAAATGCCACAGTGTTCTCATCGTGCATACATTGTAATTGGAATTGGTTGTTTTAATTAAGGATTAGAAGCGAATTAAAAAGTAGAAGAACAGTAGTATATTAAAAATAAGTCATTCCTTAGTAATCAGGGGTAACAACGCGTCTGCATTTTAATTCTTAATCGAGGATAGATGTAGATGTCTATGGACCTCAGCGTCCAATTAGCATCAGGTGGACTGTGAGGTCGTGTCACCTTTATTCTATATTACAAGTATGTGTAAAATTTAAGAATAAGTGTGTTGCCCCCGATAATGTTTATTAGATGTCGCTTCTCGCGCTGCAGAGAGGATTTGCTCTACAGTCACGCTTAGCAGGCAGATTGACGATCTCAGTACTAAACATAATATCGCACTACTGACGTTTCTGCTTGCTGCTGGTCTGGATATTTTACCGCTATGCCCGGTTTACATTATTCCAGTCCAGTGATCTAGCGGGAATCCAGTCCAGAGCTGGACTGGATCTGTAACGTCTACATTATTCCAGTTATTTAGGAGCCGTTGAAAAACAATCAATACGTGTTCACTGCGTCAGCACTGGAATGGCACGGTATTGGCAGTCTACATTATTCCAGTTGCACTGGATTCAAAAGTAGACCGCCAATCCTGTTACTGGACTGGAATACTAACTGGATTCAGTGCATTCCAGTTGCCGGTTTACATTTTTCCAGTAAGCAATCCAGCGCTGGTTCCTGCGACTGAAGCGCTGGACTGGAATAATGTTAACCGGGCATTACAGCTTTTCAACAGTTCACTGTCGAACATATGCCTTTCCTATACATAGCTTCATAGGGAGGTAGTTGGCTATAGCCGCCAAGCTTGGCAGGCGGGTTGGCAAACGCAGTACTTATTTTTTATTAGAAAGATGCTGCTGCTAATCTTTTGTTTCAGTTTACAGCTGTCGCCCTTACGACACACGATGGGGTAGTGGCAGTGTAAAAATTTACACCGCCACTACAAGGTGTATTGAGTATGGTTGTTTTATGTTTGACGTAACCGAAACAGTTATCCTATACCTTTAAACGAGCAATTCTTGTATATATATATATATTAAAAAAAAAAAAAAAAAACATAATCGGAATCTCGGAAACGGCTCCAACGATTTTCATAAAATTTTGTGTGCAGAGAGTTTCGGGGACAATAAATCGATCTAGCTAGGGTTTATTTTTAGAAAATGTCTTTTTGTCCGTGTTTTTAGGCAATGAAAAACTGCTACAATATCGTTAGAATAAGAAGGTAAGTTTTGACAGTTTATTAATGATTACAAATAGGTTAATTGGTATATTGGGCGGTCACAAAATCGTAATACCATGGTCGAGCCCAGACCGACCGACCGACTTTTTTAATTTTTTTTCAAGTTCCTTTCTTTTTTGAGAAAATCTATTTTTTCAAGCCCTTTTTTTAGTATTTTTTAAAAACACGAAAATTTAAATTAAACTAATTGCACTCATGATTTTTTATTCAAATAACCAGTTCAGTTTTTTCTAATATGTCGCTAAGATCAAAAAATATTATTCGTATTTCATCAGTATGTAATTTGTATCTAAATATAATTTCCAAAACACACGAATAAAAAAAAAACCGAGCGAAAAATACCGAGCAAAGCTCGGTCAACCGGGTACTACTACTATTAATAGGAAGCTATAAGATTTTTTATATAGTTTTTCTCAGTCACCTCTTACGACACCCAAGGAACCAAATGGGATGATAAATTTTTATATAATTAATAGAATAGAACTTCACGGAAATCTATTATAATAAAGATATTAACTCATTAGCTCTCGAGGCCACGCGTAATATGACACTCCCGTTCGATCGCGACCGTAATGGCGGGAAAATTTGCAAATTAGCAAATTTTTTGCTATATTGCAAATTTTGCTATATTTTCACTTTGAGACAATATTTATGGATAAAACTTACAGGAATTCTTGTTGAATGTATAAACTATTGAATAAAATTATTTTGGTTGTTAGAAATTATAATAAAATTCATAAATTACCCTTTATAGCATAAGTAGTAGTATATACTTCACTTTTAGTGCCAAAATTACTACTAATTTGAATTCTACACTTTTGTTTTTGGAGAAATTTATATGAAAATGTTTGGAAACATGTATATTTTTATGTTTTATGTGTTTCCATTCGTTACTCATACCAAAATATTAAAATATTATAAAAATTAAAAAAAAAATAAAATAATATTTTATCTGTATGACATTTCGAACAATATTTCTAAAATATGTTTGTGTGAATTTGAAATAAATACAACGTCATGTTATTTGAAATATATACGAAAACTATTTTTACTTACATTTTACACTAAAAATAAATGAGAATTTGAAAAATAACACATTTATAACTCACCTGCCAAAACGGGCTTTCCGGAATTTGAAGTACTTTTTGGCAATTTACTTTTCACTTTTTATACCACAAATTACATATCTACGTGTTTACTATATTACAAGGAATATAAAAAAGTATAATACTTTCGTTTTTAGTCCAGACACAAATATAAAATTCTATAAAAAAGACGGAGCACCTACAACAAAGTGACACGTGGAACGCCGGAAGTTCAGAGTGATTTCTTTTTTTTTTTTCTAAGAAACATTGCCAGGTTATGGTTTAAAATAAAAGAGCATATCTTTTTCTTTGATACTATTATCTATTGCATAGTGTCTTTGGTTTTGTTTTAATTAAAAAAAATTCTTTTTCAAAGGGTAGTACTTGTCGCCCACATGTGCACCTTGATCGAGCGAGCGTAAGGTGTTTATTTCTTGAGCACATGTGGGCGTCGCGAGAGCTAACGGGTAGTTACTTTGCAACCATCCGCTAAATTAAACAAAATGATGTGTCTTACCTAGTTTGAAGAGCACCTCCCGCCCTCCCTCAATCGCGTGCACTAATCCCGTCGCCACTAATCGCAGCACCACTAATCCCAATACTACTATTCTAGGAAAGACACACCATCGACGATAATACAACACGTGTTTCGCCTCTACACGAGGCATCTTCAAGTGATGCCTCGTGTAGAGACACTAGGGCCACTGACCGCTAAGTCTCACTTTCAATACACATCATTTTATTTTATTCAGCGGATGGTTGCAAAGCATCTATTAACCCATAATGCCCAGAACTATTTTTGAATTTTGATTTTGATTATTTCAAGATATGTTATCAGTATTGAGTAATTTTAGTAAAAAATATTTTTGGTAAGTAGGTATTTTAGGGGTGTTCGAAAACGAAACAACGGGCAAATATCCTACATTCGTTATAGGTAATTAAAACAAAGATGTATAATGAGATTATTTATTACTTATTACTATTTTTACACTAAATTGCAATATAAAATTAAGAATGAAATACAGAGAAACATTTAAAATGTAAATTTACTTTACATTTTTGACAAAAAGTGACTGTAAGGCTTTTGCAATAGGCACATCGCAGTCTACTTGGTGCCCTGCCGATCATGTGCTCAGCGTTATGCTTTCGTACTGATGTAGGTACATTTGTAGATACCCGTTTGCTAGGTCCTGGATGCTGCTTATCATTGCCATATTTTTGAAGTAAGGTTCTGACAATGCTACGTCTAAATTCCAGCATATCTATATCTTTGGAGAAATTACGAGCTAGTAGGGTAGCATTGTTGACCGCAACGTCTATCAACCAGAAAAGTAACGGGATATACCATTTTTTGCCCCTAATTGCTATTCGATAGGTACCAATGTTTGCATCTAACCGATCAACCCCTCCCATAAAACGATTGTATTGGTGCACAACGTTGGGTTGTGGTACATTTACTCTTTGCTTTTGAGCAGCTGAGTATCTCCTTGCAGTTCGTATAGGCTCCACGCCGTATTCACTGGATAACAGAGTGACTACACTATTATCGTTCCAGCACACTGCACAGATGCCGCTGTTTAGATCGAGCCGGCTGTCATGGTAACCTCGCTGTTGCTTCTTGCATAATTTTTCATCTTTCAAAGGACACTTGTCAGTGCGATTACTACGTACTGTACCTGTCACTAAAATATTTTTTTCTTTCATTGCCATTATCAACGGTAATCCTGTGAAGAAGTTGTCGCAGAAAACTGAGAATCTTGTTTCTTTGTAGACATTCTGAATCTCGGTCATCAATTTTTGCACAACATATTGTCCTAACCCGGTACTAAAAGTTTTTTTTTTTTTTATAGTATAGGGTGACAAACGAGCACACAGTCCACCTGATGGTATTTGGTTGCTGTGGCCCATAGACATCTACATCTATCCTCAATTACGAATCAAAATGCAGATGCGTTGTCACCCGTGAGGACTAAGATGGAATGCCTCGTTTCCAGTAAAAAGGGTCTCCGGTTCTCTACACTCACCATACGAAACACAGCAGCATTAAGCTACTATTTCACGCTGGTATTCTATGAGAGCGTGGTCCTTCCCCGGTCGAGCCGAACCATTCGTGCTACAACTATACATCTAATATAACTGCAGCATGGCTCTACCACATATGAGTTTCATAGCGGCCTTGATATGGGTCGACGTATAAGCAATATCCTAAGGGCAAGGCTGCAATCCATGTTTTGAAGCCAAATCTAATAGACTTACCTCTGATATGCTGCTTACATCCGTGTCTACCATAGTAAGGTATCATAGACTCGTCTATGCTGATGTTCTTTTCGATTACGGCATATTGCAGAAACTTTTTATTGAGTAAATCAAAAAGTGGGCGGACTTTAGCCATTTTGTCATTAGGGCAAAGGTTGGTATTATCGACCACATGGAAATGCCGAAGAATTTCTTCGAATCGGTTTCTTCGCATGGATTTCGCCACTAAGATATTGTGTGTGTCTTCGTTACTTTCCCAATACATCCGACGTCGCGGCAGTGTAGAATATCCGGTGAATATCAAAATGGGGATGAAACAATAAATGTCATTATCAGAGAGGTTAAACCCTGGGTTTCCTTTTTGAACTTCATAAATAACAGAGTGACGAACAATGTGCATGATAACTTCGTGACTAAAAAAAACAATTCAAAGAAATCAACTGGTTCTGAAGCTTCGGATAAGGTAATTACTGATCTAGGTAATGGTGCAATCCACTCATCATGAAGTTGGGATAAGTCTCGTTTTACCCATTTTCGGACTACCTTGGGCGATCGAGGTGGCGGTGGAGGTGGAAAAGGAGAATTATCTATCAATGGCCGGCTCCGCCTACGGTTTGATAAAGACTGTGAGTCAGTCACAGTACGTGACGTAATTGGGCCTAAAGCTTCTTCTTCAGACTCGCTGCCGTCACTGACGTTTTTTCCATGTAGTGTCAGTTCAGCAGGTGCCAAAAGTTGACGACGTGATAAATTTTCAAAACTTACGTTTCTTTCGTCTCCCGAGTCCGAATCTGACACAAGTTCATCACTCGGAGGGTCGATATAAATGTCAGCTGCTGTTGCTTCATCATCCGAAGCTAAATCATCGATAATATCAACGATTTCATTTGTAGTTAACCACATATTCCACCTAAAACATAAAAACAGATTTAGTAGTTAGTCTCACCTGTATATTTGCCCAACGTATCGTTTTCGAAACACGAAAGTTATAAAGACGTTATAGGTATTTATTAAATAGTATTTACTTATTTTAAAAATACGAATAAGATCATTATTTACCTAAAATTACCACAAAATTTTGAAAAGTACAAAGTTTCACTCAATTGAACAAGTACTTACTTCTTTTTGGGAGACGACATGATTTTTGCGCGACGTAAAACAGGATACAACTTGCACTACTGACTTTAAATCAAGTGTCAACGCTACTCAAAACGCTTCGTTGCAAACAAAAGGTAGTTCTGTAGCCTTGCACTAGATGGCAATTTTTTGCATTTTACTGCGCTAGCAAAGGATTTCCAGTGGATTTACGAAAGTACAAAATCTTGTTTCGTTTTCGAATCACGGGGCATATATGGGTTAATATCTTTATAATAAATTTTTTTACGACGCCATTGTACAGCAAAATTATTATAATTTCTAAATTGTAATAATAACAATATTAATTACGCTGATAAGTCGTATGTAGTGGCAGTGTAAGACAATTTATTACCCCATATCATTGTAAAAGGTGAAACGGGGAAAGAGAAATGAAATGAATGATAGGCATCTGTATAACCCAAAATATTTAAAATCTGCAGTTTTCAATCCACCTGTCAAGAGTTGCAACTATGATATATATTGCCCATGTGAGACAATCTACCTCGTATCTCTAGGGAGCTTCGTTTAAGTAAGAGTATTTATTACCACACCAATCGATCGTCGCTCGATACTACCGATTGGTGTGGTTGCTTTAGCTGTTTGACGGATACTGGTCGATAAAACACTGTCCAATCATCGATCGACGTCTATCGATAATTAATCTAAGTTGTCGGCTCATTATTAGTATTTTTCAAAATGCAGCCAGTGGAGCGGGGCGGGTTTTCTAATAATCAAGCAGAAGATCCATCCAAACATACCATCGATTAATGATCGATCAATTGGTAACACCCTAAGACATGCAGAAAGTCGATGGATGCAGGTGCGTCAGGAGCGTGCTTCGTGGCATTATTCGGAGGAGGTCTATGTTCAGCAGTGAAGTTGTGAAGAGCTGTATCGAGTGAATGAATGAATGAATGAATGGAGCTGACCTCTGGCGAGCGTGATGAGGCGGCGCTCCTCGGCGCGCTCCTGGCGCGCCGTGCTGAGGCGCACGCCCAACGCACCGGTCACCAGCCGCCGCGCCAGCGCCGTGCAAGTCTCTGGACGCTGTCTGCAACAAATATATCATTATTATCTTATCATATTTTTAAAAACAAAACTTTTATAGAATAATTGTGATTTGAAACTCGATGAAACGAAAAAGCGACATTAGAAAGAGACAAACATATCTAACGGATGTAGCCTATGAGAGAATGAAACAATACAAAATACAGTGTTTCCTTTACCATCAACATAAAATATTTGCATAGTCATAGAAAATGTTGTAGTGAAATATGTTTGACAGTTGTCATGTTTTTGTCATTGTTTGACAGTATTGTACATTACATATTTTAACTATATTAAATCTTTATAACTACAGAAACAAAATGTTTGAAAACAAATTTGTAGAAATATTGTCATGTTGAAAGATAAGTTTGAATATCGGTTGAAAACTTTACAGTTTATGTGAGTGCGAACGCCACCATCAACAAAACATGTTGTGTTACTTATTTTATGCGATATGTTTCAAAATATTACGTGTTGGATGTTTTTCGGTGCAAACGTAGGGTTAAAAATCTCCTTTCCTGAAGGTTTCACTCCTGCCGCGTGTGAACTGCACACATTTTTCCTATACAACCGGAGTGACAAAAGAACTTAAAACCTATCTGGGTGACTACTGCTATCTATATATACCTGTAGCCAGCTTTTGTAATCGTATAATAAAGGTTAAAAGCGAATTAATATAACTTTAATTGACAATTTTAAAACCCCCGAAACAAAGTGACCAAACCATTGGAGTACGCCCCTATCAATTTTTGTGATAAGGTCATCTTTCAATCCTGCCATATTGCGAATCTCTTGGTTTCGCTTTCGATCGGCTATGGTAACGCCACACATTTTACGAAGAGATCGCATTTCCACTGCATTCAACTTGCTTTTATGCTTCTTCTGGTATACCCAGGTTTCGCTGCCATATAATAAAGTCGGTACCAACACTGCATTATGTATTGCAAGGCGTGCACTCTTCACCACGTCTTGCCTTTTGACTAATGCATTAAGGGCTCCATTGACTTTGTTTCCGGCAGCGACACGCCTATCCACATCTAAATCACATCTTCCATCCCGGCTGAAAGCACTCCCCAAGTATACAATTTCATTTACCTGTTCTAGACATTCCTGATTTACCCATAGTTCACATTTCGTTCTCTCTTCGTCCTTTCCAAATATTATAAGTATTTGAAAATACTTGACTCCAATGTTTTTTTTTGCGTTTACGATTGACAGTTTTCTTTTTTAATTTAATCGATAAGAATTAATTACGTTTAGTATCATATACGATAGTTAGTTTGAAGTATTTGGCACTAAGAGGATATAGAATTACGAATGACAATTATCATTGCTTTCAATCCATGTCAATTCGACCACCTTTAAAAACAGACCAACACTCTCTACTAATCATTCCTTATGGCTACCCTACATTTTTTTTAAATTTGTGAAAAAATCTCATTTCTTAGCTCTACGATATTTGTAAAATTTCAAAACTTTTGTCAATATTTTAATGGTATTAGTACATAATATCATACCCCTCTACCACACACTCTTCAAGTGTCATGGGAATTAGCGAGTAAAGGAGGCAGAGACGTAGTGTAGCAACAGTACTCGTCAACTCCGGCATGACCCATCGCTCCGCGTTTTGTTGCAGCAGTGTGTGGGCAGAGAGGACAACATCGCGGCATCGCGAGTAGTAGAGTAGTAGTGAGCAGCGCAAGGAGCGTAGTGTGGCGGAGTCAATATATTATTAATAAGTCATTATTTTAATACCTATACGGTTGTAGAAACTCGGCGCATTTCTTGGCTTTATTGCGGGACTCCAGAGTCGCGGCGTGTAGCGGCCGACAGCGTGCGAGCGGACGTTGAGTTGACAACACCTCTGCAGCTGAAATTACAAGGAGCAAAACAAATTGAAAAGAGACAGACACATAAATTCATAAGATAATACTCGCGAGAAAAAAGTAAACACCGCCGAAACGGCGTTGCTTACGCGTTTTGTTCAATGAGGTACGAAGGTGTCGTGTGCCCATGGATTAACAAGCGGTGAAGAACGGCCAAACCTCACCTTCGTAATAGGTAAAATTGATAATAAATCTTTTTCTAATTAGTGGGTAGTATATAAGGTATATCGAAAAGAGTTATATAATATCGGTGTCTAATATATATCACCACAATAATACATTTATTTAAATCAAATAAATTATTTAAAGTATTTGTATTTTAAATTTCATTTCATTTGACGGTTTCACTTGTGTCGCGTGTGAGCTGCAAGCATTTTTTTTTGTTTCTTTAGTTCTTAGTAGAGGTACGGTCCGATATCACCGGTTTAAAATGGACGAGGAAAATGCTGCTGCCCATCTCCAGTTTCAGTTTACCTCATTCGCCCCTTACTGTACCCACGGGATAATATGGGGGTAGTAGTGGATAAAAATATATATGTATGACTTATTGCACATAATATGTAGACAGCAACTTCTGTGATCTTAATGATTTCAATTTACATAAACGACGTACGAACATTTCGTTAATTATTTAATTCGGCGAAGTGTAGCATTTTGTGGTTTATTCCAAGCCACAAACCACAATGTAGCATGCAAGATAAATACATCTAATGAATTTAACCAAGTTTTAAATTTTAATGCATGTACTACCGGCAAACCTACATAAACAATGATGAAGTATCGTTTAGCATAAACAAATATAAACCGGGGCTGACACCCTGTGTGGCGTCGGCATACGTAGTTTGAAATCATACGTGAAATCTGTGTGGACTTTTTTCTCAAATTGGCCACATTCCAATTCTGCATACCTATATACATGAATGACTGCATAATGTTCTCTAGACGGAAATTCTGTCGCGGCGGCGAGATATACTGCGCGAAGCGGCGGAGACTAGCCATCTGCAGAGGACTGGATTATAGTGCCAGAGTGCGCGCGCAAGCACAAGTGTACTATCTATTCCCTTACCCTCATAGGTGTGACCATAGGATACTATAATACACAATAGAATGGCTGTCAACCTTATTTTGTACGAGGGTCGGCGTCGCCGGGAGCACACATATAAGCAATTACGTTGTATTATCACCACTACAAACCCGATTCGCTGTGTTGACAGACTGAGTAAATTTAAACATTTTAAATTATTGATTAATGTTCAAGATCATCATTAAAAAAATCGTTTAAATTTTAATATATATTTATTTGTAAATAGTGTGCAATTTGGCATTTTCTAAATAATTTGCATGCGAAATTTGGAAACTATTGCAAAACGTCAAAGCACATCTCGTGTTGACAGTTATACGAGTGAATTAACATGTTAGTGACATTTTAGTGGCTACACGGGCTCCGCCCACTCCCCCCGTTCTATTATTATGTATGTAATATAGTATTCAGTGGGTGTGACGGTAATCCGATACGACCGAAGATAGATTAGGCGCAGGACCTACAGCATTACGTGCTTCTACTGAAATGCTACTAAGAATTTCTTGACCAAAAAGCCATAACACATACATAACTGATATCGGCCGGTACCTAGGAAAGCACATGAAGCCGTTGGTTTCGCGCCGCTTGTATTTTCCAGACGTTTTGGTTTCTGATTGCCGTTCCATCGGTCTATGTGAGTGAAAGAATAGAGTACGTATTATGTGCTTGCGTGTACTCATGCGTTCATTCTGTCCTGTCTAGATGTCTAGTTTCCGTTGAGGCTACCGCCGTGGCCGAAATTAGGTCTGGAGGAAATTATTATTATATAAAAGAAAATTTTTGGGAAATATACATATTAGGCCATTTTTTTATTCAACGCAACTCGAACTTGAAAAAATTTATGCGATTTGAAAATAGACGCAAATACTATTAGTTGTTTTATTGTGGTGGCCGTGTGAAAGTCATTTTTAATTCTACGCGCCAGCCAGTCCATACAGGCCAGGATCAAACTCGCTTTGCTCTAGAATTATGAAATTTAAGGGTGAGCACTTATTCTTCTTCAGAGCTGCCATAGATTTTCTAAGCTGCCATGAATTCATGAAGTCCGCCAAATTTACACTTACACTGCATGCAATTAAGATTACAAATACCTACATACTTAATAAGCATTTGCAAGACTCATTTCATACAGGGTAATAAATGTCTATAAATATAGCTACTGAGCGAAGATAACACGTGTTAATCGTAATGTAGAATTGCAAAGGCAAAACACTGTGACCCACGCAGCCTACTTCCAGCAAGTGAAGGTTCAACGGCCGCCGTGACGCAACAAGAAAGTGGGGCAAAGCGCCGGCCACAGCGAACGCAACCGCAATTGTTAACCTACGATCTTATGTTGTACATAATACCTTCACGCTAATGAACAAGCGATGGAGACGAGGTGTTTTTCAAAGGGGAACACAACCAGTAGAGCGATGTGTAACTTTCATGAGAATCGTTTGCCGGTGGAAATTACTCCGTTATATTATTTTTACATGGTTATGTATTGTAACTTAAAGTCAGATATTATTATACTATAGTTATCGATTTACAATCGATACTGATACATTTATACAATACAACTTCATCATCATCATTACAACCTATAAAATCTTCTCCTGAACATAGACCACCTCTCTACGCCATAGAACAGATATTTTCCATAGTTGTTGTGCAGTGCCTATTTTTTGTATACAGATAAAACGGTGAAAAACGAACAAACAGTATATCTGATGGTAACTGGATGCTATGGCACATTGATATCTATCTTCTATTGTCTATCCTCGATTAAGAATCCAATCAATGCAGATTTGTTGTCACCTGTTGAGTACTAATACGGAATGCCACGTTTCCAATAAAAAGGATCTCCGGTTCTCTACACCCACCATACAAAACACAGCAGCATCTAGTTGCTACTTTACGCTAGTAGTCTATGAGAGCGTGGTCCTTCCCTGGCCAAACTGACCCACTCGTGCCGCAACCATAACATAGCTGTAGCGTAGCTCCTGTTGTATATCCCCCTGTCGCCTTTAACGACACCTATCGGACGACAACGACGACAGAATGGTTTAGTGGATCCTCTTGCGTCGCCACTACATAGCGCAATACAACGTAACATACCCCAAACATCAAATCAAAATCAATCAAGAATTTCTACATACATCGTCCCGTGGGTTTCATTAGAGTCGTTTCAAAAATTGCCAGAAGCATTATTTGACCTTCGACCTAAGATACTCTGACCTGAATGTTTTAGGAATGGGAGCGAACTTTTATAACGAAATTGTACATAGTAAAATGAGTCTTATGTTAATTGTGTAACGCGCAAACTAGATATGAGCCATTTCCACAGACTTTGCCGACGGTAGCTACGGGAATCCTAGAGAATTCCCCGGAGGACGCGCGACTTCTTTTTTAGCTCAGTTTAAATTTAATTAGGAATAATAAATTTCTGCTTTGTTTGGCATGCGATCAATCATCTTTACATTTTGCCCGGCTTATAAGAAACAGTTTTTGTTCATAATAAACTCTACTTCGGTTTAACAGACTATATTATGAGCTGAAAGCCTAAGTTAAATACCCGCATTATGTTTAGTAACAAGCCCCATTAATTTTCTTTCGGTTTATAATTTGCAATTGGGTCCCGCCCGCTACCAAACTTAATACGAGTATTTAACTTAAGTTTTCAGGTCATAATATAGTCTATTAAACCGAAGTAGAGGTTACTTTGTTTATAATTTATTTTAATTTTATTCACTATTCTTCTTCATATTGTATTACGTATTTAATTCTTTAAACTATTTATTTTATTTTAACTCTATTTTTAATTATTCTACAATAACAGTATGGCAGCGAATAAAATACGAACAAATATTAATTTGTATATATTAATATTACAGAAAGAAACTTTAATTTTTACACTTATCTAACAACTTAACTTCTCCGCCATGAAATCTGTCAAATATTTCATCTCAATCCAAGGTGGCAGCCCTGGTAGCTAAAAAATTTGTGGTAGCCCTCATTGAGGTAAATACATTCCACATTTAACTACCGCCGGCCGTAGTCGAAGGCATCGTTCTGTTATCAAGCTGCATGCCTTTGAAAACTAAAAGTAGCAGCTTTTAAAAAAAATTCTACGATGCGGCGCCTATTAATGTGACGTGATTAATGACTTGTAAGCTACTAAATTAACAATACATACATATAACAATAAATTGTATTAATAAAATACGAATTGACGTTATTGCCCCGAAACTTATCAGATATCCACGTAATTTCAACCACGCGCCGAACGTTCTCAAAGTACTCAAAGGTGTCCGTTGTGTAGTCTAGTTAATAGAAACTATAATGGAACTAGACTCAAAGTTCCGGCCAGCCCTAGACAGCTTATAGATATAAAGTACGTTAGTAAACTCGCAGTTTCCTAAGCCCACCTTAGCCGTTCATCGCAGTTACGTCACATTATCTAATGCCTTGCAGTTGAATGGACTTCCTCGAACCTTTAGGTGGAAAGTGGGTTGCGTCGACACGAACGAGTTTTCGTTTAACTGATCGCTCCTAAATCAGTCATTTTCCTAATATACCAACGCAATCATGAAATTATTGCATCACATTATGGATCTTATCTCAAACGCACAAGAAATAAAATTGTACAGCATTTTAAATGAAGTGACCATAATTTCTGTGTGGTTTAAATTTGGTATAAATTTGTACTTATTTCGTACTTTTTTATTGCAAATTAGGATAACAGACCCAATCATCGGTTCTTTAAGAGATGTCAAATTTCTAATAGGCTTTTTATATTAAAAACTACTTATCCTCAGTTTCGGTTTTAATAAGTACATAATACATAAAGTACCGAAATATCGCATACATTTGTAGACACTGAATTGCACGCTTAAGTTTACTGAGTATAACTTTAAAATG